ATAGAGGATAAGGTAAAGGTAGGTAGGAGAGGAATCTACCTCAAGGAATAAAGGTTGTTTAAATATTATTTTTTTTTTCAAACAAAATAAAAAAGGATTTGGATCTGCCGCGACGGCACAGTCAGGTGCATAATGAAATCGTTTTTTTTCTACTATTACGTATTTTTTATTCCTATTGTTGATTATTGATTTGATTTAATTAATAATAAGTTAACTAATTAATAATTATTGATTAATAATTTTGTTTATTTTTTTTTCGATTTTTGATTTTATAAGTTAGATCAGTAGATTTACCACTTTGGCTTATTGCAAAGGAGCAGTCAGGTATGTTATATTGTCTATTTTATTGTTAATTAATATTCTTTTTGATTTTATAGGTTAGGGCCGATTCCGCCCTTTCGGACGATGCGGGTGCGGCACTTCGGATGGACCCTTCGTCTCGTCACGGCGATAACTTAATAAAGGATATATTACAACTAAAGCAGTATAATAACCATAACTAGCGGCCGCACACCAACCTAATCTAGTTTAGACATAATAGGTAGAGATCTGCAAACCAATTTTTTTTTCTTAAAAAAAAACTTTTTTAAAAAAAAAAAATCTTTCTCCCTTTCTTATTTCTCTCCGAGAGTATTCCTTTTATAAAAAATATGAACAAAATTACTTTTACTTACATAATGCTTCAAGTATTCGGATTTTTGTTATTCGTGACATATCTTTTCTTCCATACTGACACACCATCTCGTTTACTCTTGGTCACTGCTGCCAGGCAGTAAAGGCTTACAAATGGTTTTAGCTGTTGTAACGCTTGGGGCTTCAACCCGTAAGTGCAAAATAGACTTTAAATTTGAAGGTTGGGAACGTGTCCTTTAGCAACTTCTCTTACTGAAGTATATCAAATTGTGAAAAATTGAAAATATAGTAAAATCACATTATAATTTTGTGACTCAGCAACAAGTTAGCACGTTTAATCTTGAACGATAAAATTAACGAAAGGTAAATTTGAACCTTAAATATTTTAACTTTTAAATTTTTTTTATTTAACTATTTAAATTTTTTACAGATTTTTTTTTAATTTGATTTTTTTAAATTTTTTTAATACTTTTTTTGATAAACTTTTTTTTAAACATTTCAGATATTTTTACCGCTCGTGCCCACTCGGTATCAATATATTTGTTTTCGTTCCTTATGAAAAGTGATCCCTTTATAGTTATATAACTTTATTAGTTGATAACTATGAAAACGTTGATAAAATGGATGCCCACTTTTTCTTCCATAAATCGTTAAGTTTAATTAATGACGATGAAAAAATGTCTCAAGAAGTCCGTGACGTTGCCCAGCGACTCTTGTAAAGCGAAAAAGTAAGTATAATATGCATATGATTATATTCAGATGAGGTACCTATTAAATTAATTTTTAATGGGAGTGGTAACACTTATCTTACCCAGCATCCAGCCATCCATCTTACTTAATTTTTTTTTATCTAAGTTTCTTTTTTTCTTTATATAGACCGATGTTTTAAAGCTAATAATAGCTTCTGGAACACTTCACCAACATCGTCATCGTCCCATAAAGGAAAAAAAGAGAAAGTGCCTACTAAAGATGGCAATGGGTGGTCAGCGGTCGGTCAATAATCTTTAACTGATCGACTGACTGGTTGACCGTCCGGTTTATACTAATGTAATTTTAGCTTATTATTAATTTTATATTATTTTTATACTATAAAATAGAATTTATTTATATAATTTATAGCAGCATTTGTTCTAATATCGAGAAAGCAACGATCATTTAGCAAAAGATTGTGAGAAACAACCACCATTGGATAATTAAAATATTTATTTTTTTTTTTAATATCTTTTTTATATTTGTATTCTTCAATTTACTTGTTTTTTATGATTTTATAACAAATTTGATCAATAAAGGATAATTTTTTTTTTTTGTTTTTTTGGTTGTAATGAGTTTTTTTTTGAATTATAAAATTTGTTCAGATGCCTTTTTTTTTTTATTATTTATTTATTTTTTCTTGATTTTGAAAGCTAACTCATTTTTTTTCAGTTTACGTTATTAAGATAATACTTTTGGGAGATATTTTTTTTTTTTCAGGTCAGAATTTGGTATGGTAGAATTTTTATTATTTCTTGTAATTAGTTAATTTTCTTTTCGATTGTGCTACTGTGGTAAGGCTTAAATGTTATGTTTGTTGATTTTTTAGGTCCTTTTTCAGGTTATGATAGCGGAACTGGTACAACAAGAACTTTTCTTAATTTTATATTTTCTCTTTAATTACTAAAAAGACGATTTAATGTACAGTAACTCTAACAGAAATTATACTAAACTCAGAAAAAAACCATTTCCATTTTGAAACGCGAAATAAAATTTTCTGTAGTAGTACGGTGTATTTATTTATCGAATAAATTAAACTTGTAAATCAGATTTTTATAATTGTCTTGAAAAATAAATAATTCAAATTATTATACATAATAATTTTCTATTAAATAATTAATTATATAAGAAATGAAATGATTACGTCATCCATCAACAAAAGCCAAATTGCATTAATATTGATATATTGGGAAATTTGCTATTAAAATCGAGTTACGAACAAAGTAAATAGCTTACATCCATATGTGGGGATTGTAATCGATACTACCAACCTACTATAATCGATGGACACAATGAAAATAATCAAATAATCGAACAGATTTAATAGGCAAAAATAAAAATAAAATAAAGCGGAATGATTAAAATAAAAATAAAATAAAGTACCAATTGAAAAAAAATAAAAAGATCTTTACCATTTAATTCCAATGTGATCGCATCCAAAAGAGGTGAGAAACCTAAAAAAAAGTAAAAATTACCCGAAATATATTAAAAAAGATCATTCGATCTGAAAATTTGCACAAATAAGTCGGCGATATTACTTCATTCAGGTCGCACAAATTAACAAGGTAATTTAATCGGGAACAAGGAGTTTCCTTATATGGATATAAAGTATAAAATGTTGCGGAAAATATTTTACCCACGTTTAGTTATAAAGCAGAGGAAAATAAGATTTTTTTTCCGTATACTTTAAATTTATGGAGCAATACAAACATATTTCATTTATATCGAATTGTGCTTCTTTAAGTCTACAAACACGTAACTTTGATAATTCACAAAAGGAATGTAATTGTCGCAATCCCCTAAAAGGGCGTAAGATTTGATGTCAATCAAACACACTTTGCGAGGATAAGACTTGCCCTCTTATCAGATATTTGCAAAATGAATATCAACAAGATGAGATAGTGAAATTCTTTCCCTATGATCATTTCAATGGTATAAAATTTATTGCCGATGACGGATTTAGTAAAATTTATACAGCCACTTGGGATAATGAAGAGCTCAATTTTGATCGAAATGCTCATGGCGCAATAGCTCTCAAAAAAATTAATACTTCAAAGAAGCTAAGTATAATTTCCACATAAATTTTAATTATTCTTAACATGATCAAGAACTAATTAAAATTGCAATTAAAATGATTCAGCAAAGTAGAAGTAAAAAATGTTATGGAATTATTCAGGATCCTATCACAAATGAATTTCTTTTAATTATAGATAATGATATATTCGATGATTTAAGACATCATACTTCAACAGTTCACCTACAACATGAGAGCGGAAATGAAGCTGTGGATCATTTTATCAAATATACACTAATAAATAGCGGTATATTAGACATGATGGAGTTTGTTCCATACGATCGGTTCAAGGAGATTGAATTTGTTGCTGAAGGTGATTCCTGTAAAATTTATAAAGCTACCTGGATTGACGGTTGCATCGATCGTTGGAATCATGAAAATTTAAAATTTAAACGGTGTGGCTCAATGCAAGTTGTTCTTAAAAAGCTTGAAAATTCTGAAAATATTACTCGCGAACAGATAAATGAGGTTCATATTAATCTTTTTCACTAATACTTAATAATAAATATTAATTACTAGATCATATTCTTTTAAAAAAAATATCAATGCAGATCAGTTGGTTTGATGGCAAGTGTTATGGAATTACTCAAGAACCCATTACCAAGGATTTTGTGATAATTACGGACATTTTCATATTAAATTTGAAAAATTATGAAACAAACGTATTTTATAAAAGTGGAAATCAAGTTGTAGATGATTTTATTAGATATATCAATCTAGAATTTAATCAAATTAAGGTAATGGAGTTTGTTTCCTATAATCAATTCAAAGATGTAGAATTTATTTTTGAAGATGAATACAGAAAAATTTATAAAGCTACGTGGATTGATGGCCAGATTCAGTATTGGGATAGGAAATTATTAAATTTTAAACGGGGTAGTTCTGTGAAAGTTGTCCTTAAAAGACTTAATAATTCCGAAAATGTTACCTCGGAAGGTCTAAATGAGGTACAATGTTAATTTAATTATAATATATCTTAAAATTATACAAAAACTCACACACATTCTCTCTTTATTAATAATATTTATTTAAAAAAAAATTCAGTTCAGTTTGTATGCAACAAAGTGCTATGGAATCACTCAAGATCCTGTCACAAAGGATTTTATAATCATTATGAATTATCAAATATTAGATAGCTTGAAGCATTATATTTCAGCAAATCACCTATTTTATAAGAGTGGAAATAAATTGGTAGATGATTTTATCAGATATATGCAAATTGATAGTTATCCAGTGACCGAGATTATGATCAATTTAAAGATATAGAATTTATTGCCGAAGGTGGATTTAGTAAAATTTATAAGGCCACATGGATCAATGGTCCGATTTGTGATTGGGATAAAGTTAGGTTAAATTTTAAACGTTGGAGTTCTAAGCAAGTCGCTCTTAAAAAATTCCATAATTCTAGAAATATTACACTAAGGGAGCTAAATGAGGTATAAATTCTCGTATAACTGTGGGTTAAATTTAACATAATGAAATTTGTTGACACCAATGTTCTTTTTTATTTAAAAAAAAAAATAAATAAATTCAGCTTAAAATATTTCATGACTGTAATCCAAAAAAAAAAAATAATTATGAATTTGATCTTTGTTGGTATATAAATAAACATTATGGAATCACTCAAGATCCTGTTACAAAAGATTTTATGATAATTATGGATTATTATAAATAGGTGATTTAAAAAATTACCTAAAAAGTTAATTTGATCTATTATAAAAGGACTTAAATATATTCATAATTCGAAAGCTATACATCAGGATCTTCATAGTGGAAATATTCTTATAGACTACAACTCATTAAAAATATCTGACTTAGGGTTGAGCAAATCTTCAACCGAATCAACAAACGATAACAATGATATTTACGGGGTTATTCCATATGTTGCTCCAGAGATTTTCAAGGAAAAAAATATACTATGGCTTCAGATATATATAGTTTTGGTATAATTATGTGGGAGTTTATGACGGGTAGAAGGACCTTTTGGAATAGAGCTCATAATACCGAGCTAATTATTGATATTTGTGATGGTCTTCGTCCTCCAATAGTCACAAATACGCCTCAAGGTTTTGTTAGATTAATGCATGAATGCTGGAGTCCGGATCCGGATAAAAGACCAGCATCTATTGATGTAATGATAAGATTATATAGAATATGAGATTTGAGTGTAAATATCCAACAGAATTTATCAAATCATCCAATGTTGGGTTCATGGTAACAAATAATACAGCTGCAGTCTATTCAAGTAGGTTGTTAAGTGGTATGATAAGATCAGCTATATCGACAAGAAGTTTGAAAAGTCAAAATACTAATCCAAGTTTAGGTAATTTTTATTATATGACATTCTATTAACGAGAAAAATGATTATTAATTTACCTTTGTTAAATCATCAGATTTATCTATATCTAACTCGAAAAATAATGAATCTTACGGCGTTAATACTTATTTGAACAAATGTTGTTTATAATAACGTAGTATCATATTAACAATTATTACTTTTATTAAAAGATAAAAGAAAATTTGAAGATGATAGTATGAAAGATGATAAAGTCATTAAGAAGAATAAGCTTGATGGTATGTATTTTTATATTTTATTACCCAAATATTATTTAGTTTAAGTAATATCTTGCCGTTTTTGCCGTTACTGTAGAATATGTTACAAAAGCACTTGATTATGATATATAAATTAACGGAATATTATAGGTATATATTTTTATTGCTTATTTATGATGTATCGATTCGAATATTATCAAAGAAATAATTATCTTATTATTATTTTCATATTTTGTTCTAGTTTAAATTTTTTAATTCAACTATTCATCGTCATTCTTATATTACATTACAATAAACATCTATTAATAGATTTAAAGAATCATGGTCTAAATAATTTATATGAATTCTAAAACCTATTAAATTCAACTATTTCCATTTTATTATTACCATAAAAATTTTCATATTCGGTTATTTACGTCAATTATCTATTCAATAAAAGATTTTGCAAAAATTATTGATGAACAACATCGGCTGGTGTATAATGTTTCAATTGATATGTAAAAATAAGAATGTTACAAGTAAAGTGATTAATAGTTGCATTTGACTATTATGGTCAAACAGAAATGCAATAAAAATATTTTATCGTGAGTATGACTTTTAGATAGATTAAGATTATTTTTAAAAATACTGATCAATTGATGTTTGATTATATTTGCTATGTGAAAGCAGCGATAATTTTCAAGTATACATAAATTTTTTTTTTATTTTAGATTTCATAGGGTAATGTTGAACAACTAAAAAACAGACAATATAATATTGATTTGGAAATGAGTTTATGTAAAAAGATCAAAATATAAAGGAGTGTAACAATATCCAAAAAAGTAGCTTATTTACAACGAGTTAAATGACCAAATAAGTTTAACATAATATGAACGGGTTAAGAATTTATATTATGTCATAATTTACAAATAAGTATTAATTTTATACAATATATATACATATATATCTCTCATTATAATCCATTTTTGGATATAAACAAAGTATGGGGGCGTAAGTACCCTTGAATAAGAGATGATTATATAATTTTGGACAATGGAAAATAAATTATATACACGAAAATTGGAAAATCGATGATGTCAATACCCATTTTTTGCATATTAAAGTTTTATAGTTTATAAGTCGAAGTATACATGATTACCATTTTGCATATGTAAGCCACATCCGGTTTGAAATCAACAAAATAATTCAAAAAAAGCTAAAACAAATTAAAATCAGAATTTTTTAGGATGCACCAGATTATTTAAGCAAGCATGTCTTCGACATATTGCAGTTCTAGAAAAATCAAACGCACCTGCGCATGTATAATGCATTTTTGCCGATCAAAAACTAAATCAATTTCCTATTTTGATTGTTCATTTTCTACGAGAGAAAATAAATAAACATTGTTTATTTTACCGCAATCTTACATAACTTTATGCAGAATTACATAAATTTATGATGTAAACTTATGAAAACTTGTGACACTGTCGAAAATTACGCAAAGATGCGCCCTACCTATATAAACTTGCACAAACTTACGCTTTAATATTCCCTGATGTAATAAATATAAAATGTCATGAATTTTTCAATTCCAAAATCAATTTATTTTATTAATATATAACAAAATGGAACCAACACTTACAAATAACGAAAGTTCTTGGATCCGACTCCAAAATTCAAATCCAGTCCTATTCCGATTACGTTTATTTCATTTAAATACGACGATGATAATTGTCTTTGCGGAAATGAATACTCTGAGACATTTTTATTCAAGAAATTCAAACAACGATATTGTAAAAATTGCTTATCAAAGTATATTAGTTATATCTCTGATAATAGTACTTATTTGGATGTTCGTATTGTTAGAAATAATAATTATTGTTATCAACATGAATCTAGATTTGCAAATTTTTACACACAAAACATACAAGATTGGTGTGAAATTTGCTCTGATATTTTATCTTTCAAACAAATACGTGCTGGAATTTATTATGATAATAGTAAAGAGTACGAAATAAAAAATAGTAATAAGGATTGTAAATTATGTGGGAAATTAATTCGCGGAATAGATAGATGTTCAAATTGTTATAAAATTTCTTCTGCCTGGGTAGAATCATCTTTGACTAAAAAACTTGTTCCAATTCTATATTTACCGTGGTGGGAACAAAATCCTTGTGGAAATTGCAAAAGAGAACTAAAAACTGTAACTGATTGTCTCAAATGGTGTAAATACTGCCAAATTACTTATAGTGGATGTAGATATTGTTTAACAACAAATATCATTTTCGGAATTACTAACAATTCTCAATGTATAAAATGCAAAAGAACAACACTTATTAATCTTGATACAGATATATCATTTATAAGCAGTGGGAACAATAATATAGATGAATTTATTCATGATTTAAAATTTGATGATCAAACGGTCCATTATATGAATTACGTCGTGAATGATTCTCATTTTTATGATTTATTTTTTAAAAATATCATTTCTTCTTCAATTACATGGATGCCATTTTATCAAATTATAAATTTAGAAAAATTAGCGGAAGGTGGATTTGGCATTATTTATAAGGCAAATTCTTTAGATGGTATACATATTTATAGTCTCAAAACATTGGGTATTATTAAAATTAAAACCGTTGTTATAAACGGATTTTAAATTCCCAAAATATTTGTAAAGATTTCTTAAATGAGGTAACTATCGATATATTTATATCTGAAATATTTAAGAATTCAAATAAACTAAACTGTGCTATTTTAGATAACTTCACACCAACTTTGTTCCCACTATCTTTTCGAAAATCGTGTTATGAGATGTCATGGCATTACGAAAGATCCTGAAACAAATGATTAATTGATAGTAATGGATTACGCATCAGGAGGAGATTTACATAATCGCTTACAAAGTAATTTTAATAAAATAACATGGAACAAAATAAAATTAAAAATTCTATTTAATATTTTACAAGGGTATTTAATTTAATAATATTATCGTTATATTACATGTATTAGTATATTAATTTGTATTTGAATTTAGGCTCGAAACAATTCACAAGGAGGGACTCATACATCGAGACATTCATAGTGGAAACATATTATTTATGGAAATAATACAAAACCTTATCAATGGAAAATTGGAGATCTAGGATTATCACAACCTGCAAATAAAGTTCCATTGAATAATCCAATATATGGAGTAATTCCTTATATTGCACCAGAAATATTTAATGGTGCTCCATTTTCAAAAAAATCTGATATTTATAGTATAGGCATGATTATGTGGGAATAAACAATGGGCTGTAAGCCTTTTAATAATATTGAACATGATCATATACTTATTTATGAAATTATTGATGGAAAACGACCCGAAATTACAGAAGATACTCCTGAATGTTACGCTGATTTAATGAAAAGTTGTTGGGATCCTGATCCTTCAAAAAGGCCCACTATAAAAAAAGTTCGTAAAGCAGTTGGTAGATGGTTTTGTAGAAAAAAATGTGATGAACTATTTAATCAGGCAGAAAAACAACGATTGGAATTAATAAAATCAAAGAAACTTGGTCCTGAATTCACTAAAAAACATCCAAAAGCTATCTATACTAGTAGATTATTAAATTCATTAATTTCTAAATCTATATCTGTTAATTCATTAAATATTACACAAGGTAAGTTTTAATTTATATTTAAATTACTGTATACCTAAAATGATCATAATTTAATTTTTTTTCATTTAAATGCTAGGATATATTTCGAAAGAATATGAATTTGATATTCCAAGGTATTTTAATAAATAATATTAAAATATTGTAAAAATTTTAAAAGTTAAAAACATGGAATATTGAAAATTTATATTTATTTACAATACTTTAGCTCACCCATCATAAATACAAATTCAAAACGTAATATTGAAGAATCAGAATCTAGAACTCAAGTTATTAGTAAGTAAAATTTTTAATTGATCCATATTGATTAAGTTAACGATATTAATTTCCAAAATAATCTAGAAAAGCGAATTAAAACTGCTGATAATATTAGTGAATATGCAACCATTTGACCATAAATTTACATAATTATATTTAAACGTAATTTATTTTATTAAAAGAATTTAAACATTGATTAGATTTCTCATCAGTAAATATTTTTCGTATGTTTTGTCACACATTCATAACTTGCTGCAGCATTATGAAATTTAATTTATTGAAGATTGTTTAAACAGATCATACTTGATATTTTTTTTAATAATAAAAAAAGCAAATAAAAGGAAAAATAATAATATACTTAATTATTCTAATTATGAGTCCATAATAAGATCGTTAGTTTATTCACATGTATTTTTAATTTACCAACCAATGTAATATATATCTCTGTAAGCTTCCGTTGAAAAATATTTGATTCAAATAAAGTTATTTACTTCGTCACAAAGATTAATGATTATTTTCTTGATAATATCGAAAGTAAATGGCATTAATAATTTCCTAAAAAAGAAGCATTAAAATATCATTTACCGCTTGAATCATTTCAACACAAATATAGTAAATTCCATAAAATCACATTTAGTAATGACGAAAAATTGACAATTTCGATACCGTGAGCATTATATAGTTACTCGAATTAATGATAATAAGTAATCTGCTTTTACAACGTGAAAACAAATTACACTCTTAGTCACAAGTCTCGCAACTACTAATATATAATATCATTGTTTTTAAGGTAAATTATTAAAGAACCGGTGGTTAGTTAATAGATATTTCCTTATTCTGCAATCTAATGGTGATAGCAAACGAAGGGTACACCTTCCAGAATTTATGGCTTTTACATGCTTTCCCTTGTATTGAGATAGGGTTGATAATAGGACAGGTCATGACCGTAACCGATAATGGTTGACCACTTTATTTTGAACTTTTTTTTTAAAAATTTTTTTAATGTTCGTGCCAAAGCATATACTTAATAACTTGAGTAAGTCAAAATCAAAATCATAAACATACTTGCTAAATAAAATCTTTCTAATAAGCCAAAAAATGTTTCAATTTCAATTATTAATATTAAACGGTCGTCCATCCATTCAGTTAAATCAATTTCAATCACAACAAACAGGTCGGTAAAGATCCGTTTATGAGCGTAACAATCCCTAGTTGGAAACCTGAAAAATCACTGGAACTATTAAATGTCCTTATTTTATAAATTTATTATCACACTAAAAAGCGAACGAACCGTGTTGCAACCGGTTCCGCAATTATTAATACTTCAATTTTAACAAGGAATCTAACTTGCTTTACATTTACTTCTTCAGTGAATTCGAAACTGGGTATAGTTGCCTGGCAAAACTCTCGGGTTTCGACGGTAAATCTATCATAAAATCTTATTGGCAAAACCATCGAAATATAGGGTTTCGACTTTTGCCATTTGCTAAAATTGGTTTTACCAAACAACTATAAATTTGAGTCTTTTTAATTTCACAGAAAAATGGGAAATAAATATCATTTTTGGGAAACCCTTTAGTTCTGATGATTGTAGATCATGAATTAAGAATTTTCATTTCAGCATATATTTTAATTTTTAAATGCATACTTTGTGTGCGAATTGTTTTTGCTAACAAAAAAATATTAGTTAAAAAAGCTTATATGCTTCTACATAAGGAAATAAAGTTACGCATTATTATTTTGCCTCAATTTATCAAAACCTTAATGACCTTTATTAAAAAAGGGTTGCAAGCTAGATTCAAAAGAACTTTAGTTATAAGCGTTTACTATTTATTCATCGGATTTCTTGAATGACTAGCGACACGTCCTCGCGCAAAGATTTTTACATTAATAATCAACTTCAATCTATTTATTTTTAATATGGGTTAATTTTTATTTGACAAAATGTTGGAATTCATCTGACCTTTTATAAGAAGAGAATTATGTATTTTCGTCTTAAAAAAAATTATCCAACATTAACTAATTTTTGATTATTTTCCTACACTTTCCATCCAAAGGGCTCATTCGTTATTTAGTTACTAAAAGCAATTTTATCTTTGTATTTTAACAACATTCTCAATCTTGCACTAAGGACAACGGAAGCATCAGGGTACAGAATATCTCTGTTAGAAGATGTGATATCAGCAACATGAAAAAGGAGACATTAGCATAATGATTTCATAACAAGCACCATCGATTCATCCAAATTTCAATTAGCACTAACTTGCCCAATAAATTCTGATTGTCTATGGCCTAATGACATATTTTGACTACGATTTAGTGCAGGAAAGCAAATTTTCGACCTAATAACACTTGGTAATGAAGTAACCTACTTGTATAGTCACACACTGGTCCGGTATTAATATCTAAAGCTGACCTTCGATAAGATTTCATACCAATACTGTGGATTGGCGCATGCAATTTCATTAAAGCAAATTTGAAATAATTACTTGTAAGACATTTTTAAGTAAACGAATATATAATTTCAAATTTGTATAGAAAAAAATATAAATTCTATATAATCAATCTGCGCGTGATATTTTTGGCGAATATGACGTATTAGCCTTGCAACATTTGTATGGTATTTCAATTTCTAAAATCATATTCTCAATTGATAAAAGATTCCGCTCTACTCCCGTAATCTACCGAGAAATTAAAAATGATAACTTATTTCCAAACAATAGTTAAATAAGTAATATTTACAGAAATTCAATAGTCTCTCAATAGCAGGAATTTAATGTAATCAAGGTTTCCTTTAACGGATTGAAATGCTTGCAGAAAAATAAAAACAAATATTGAATATGTACTTCTGGATTCTCTAAATTTTTTTTCTTGAAGTATTATCTGTTTTTTAATCATATAGACGAGATCAAGGCGTGAATGAGAAATTTTTAAAGAAAATGCCGTTTTAAGCATCTTTCAATTGGAGTATATCGTGCTGTTAACGGGTTTCATTATATCAAAGACATACAGTACGTACGAAAGAAATGCTGTTTACTAAAGCTGAAATTCTCGAAATTTGCATTGAATGATTGAATGTCGATCTATGGTTGAAAATTTTATTATTTGAAAGTTTGATTTTGAAACTAGCGAACGGCTTCGGAATCCGTTGTTAGTTTCACTCAGCATAGACGCTCTGGACTAATAACTCGTGAATGATCATCAATTTACCACGATTCTTATTGTTATAGGGGGAATCGCAAAAAATGTATTTTCTCCAGATTATTCTGGGGACTTTACGTCTCATAGATATTAAATTATTTTAAACCAATTTGAATATTTACCAGCACGAATTTAGTTTCACCATATCGTTAAGTCCAAAACAAAGAGAGTATACACCTTGAATTCACATTTTCTTTTTAAAAAATGCAGAAAAAATAAACATATTTGAAAGTTGATAAAAGGTCAAGAAATTTATTTTCACGTTTCCAGCAAAAAAGCTTGTGCGAAAACGATGTCAATATTTTTAAAATTTTTTCATTATTCCCTAATGCTAAATGTGGTGATGTAAATATCCTCGGCCATTGTGTAATTCGATTTGATCCGGTGTTAGTCGCAAATCATACCGCCTCAGATGACTTCAGTATAACTTGTTAATCATGTTAACATGTAATATATGTGACACATGTGACGTTTGCATTACTTTGGATAACATGTATCGGATAATTTACTTTTCATCACTTACATTATATAGTTTACTGTTCATTACTTGTATTATATTATTTAGTTTTCATTTATTATTATCGAAAGCAATTTTATATAAATAGACCTGTAAGATGACCTTGAGTCGACAGAGTTCGATCAGATAGTTTACTGAATAAGTCTTGGGATTAGACTTATAACTCTACAGATTAATAAAGTTACTATATTACACTTTCAACCTTCTTCTTGTCTTCATCATAGGATTGATCGTGATAACTAACTACACAAGTGAATCGTGATAATAAATTGTTTTGTTTGCAAGTCGTTTATTTCTATTAGAAAAGGCCTTCGAGATAATCGATTTAGCTTGGTTTCGATTCAATTCTGGACTAACGCCGGTTGATTCGGGTTAATTTTACATATTAAAATTTATATAAAATCTCAAAAATCTGCATATAAACTTTGTTATTTTATATTCTGACGGGTCGGATCGGATTAAATATTAATTAATCGTTAAAGATTTTTTTCAATCGATGAATTTAACTCCGGCCGAAATTCAATTTTCGGCCGGAATTAAGATTTTTATGATTGTAAAATATTATAGTTATATCATTCTGTTAAATGTCTGTTATATTACATCAATTTCCGTTGCTTAACAACTAGTTAATAAAATAATGCTGTCGATCATATCCTAGATTTGACGTCTTTAATCAATTAAAGAACACCCCGATGAAATTTGCAAATAATAATGAATAATACTAAGTACTGTAGATGCATCTCCGTTGCCTATTTATTCAATATACGCTGCTTTAACGTTAAAAGCAAAATTCATCAGAACATTCAATTTCCTTTTTAGGCGGCGATGCATAATAATTTTGATTTAGGATCATCACATTCAATGAATTTTAATGTTCATCAAAGTAAATAAACTAATCCAAAACAAGATAAATAGTATGCTGCGGACCCATCATGATCCAAGTATAAGCTTAATTTGGCCGGATAAAAAAGATGATCGACCAATTTTCGGAGTTCGCAAACCGAGGCTAATTTAATTTAGAAAAATGTAAAATCAAATTTCATCGTCGCGTTATGAATCGTTATTTTACCTTTCCATATCAAGCAATCTACTACTTTCAAGTGAATATTTTCTTGATCTACAAATCGGCGTTATGGCCAAGGTTGATATGCACCAAACAGAATTTGGTATTAGATACTATCGCGTCAACTTTTCAGATGAGTCTAAACATTCAATGCAGGTTAAATAGTAAACGATCAACTTGTGAACATTAGTAAATATCTGTTCACGGAATTACCTTTCCATTAAATGAATTTTTAATCGGATATTTCGGATGCAAAGAAAATTATACGAACAGTGTGCTTATCTTTTTTTTTTTATTTAAACAGCTGAAAGATAACTCAATTACTTTTTTATTCAAATCTATTTTCAAGAGTAACCTTTATTTTTTTTTTTGACAATGAGTGAAGAAAACGGTTCCTTGGTCGAGTCATCTAAAAGAAAAACAATTTGGAAAAACCCTTATGATGAAAACCAGGATAAATATAAAATCATTAGTCCGTTAATTGATGTAATTGGACATCAGATGTACGCCATAAATACTTGTTACAATGTTCAAAGTTATATTACTATTACTGAAAGTGATATAGCACAAAACAAAGAGATGTAAGTTCTACTTTCAACATTAAAACTCTGTAAAGGTAAAGAAGCGTTTTATTAATTAATAAACCACAAAAATAGCGTTAAGGTATCTGATCAAGTCGCCGGGATATTGTTCGCTGCTGTTGGTTATCGTAATCATCTGATCGATATTACTTGCTCCATTGGTCTACTTAATCAAGGAATGGAGAAATTTTTAAAGTTCTACAATTATTCATCAACTCCAACAGAATTTCTTCATTATGTAAAAGATCCAATAGAAGATCTAATTGAAAAAGTTACAAAGTTAGAAAATTTTAGTAATGAAAATTATAAGATTCTTGAAATAAACCTTCGTTCGTATCTAGCGAATTCTGGTTCAGAAGGATTGGAATTAATGGTTAATGATAATGTGAAAAAGCAACTGGAAATAAATAAATTACAAAAAGAATTGGATGAACTTCAAGAAGAAGCATACAATGATTGGATTAAATATCGTGAAGATTTCGAAAAACTTGTAGAAGAAGTTAAGACATTAGAATCACAAAGTGAATCTATTGAAGAAGATTTGGAAGATATTCGAAAACAAATAAAGGATTTGAATGAAGTCCGGGGAAAATATGAGCAAAAATATCAAGAAACGAAGAGTAATAGAAAACAATTCTTTATTTTTTCTAATGATAATAAAGTTTATAAAGGTATGAATATTTGAGAAATAATTATTTTAAAAAAAGACTTAGTCAAATTTGACGTTATTATCTTTGTTTGTTCAGACTATAAAAATAAGATGAAACATGCAGAAGGACAAATCGACTTAATGAAATCTCAAAAAAAGGAACAAAGTAATATGGCAGATATCTTGATAGGAAAAATAGAAAAATTAAAATATAAAAAAGTGACATTGGAGGATAAATATAAAATGAAATATGGAGACAAAATCGAATCACAAGAGGATAAAATCAAAAAATCAAGTGAAGAAAATGAGAAAACCTCGAAAAAAATTGGAGAATTATGCGATAAAGCTGGTACAACATCAATCGGAGCGGCTATCGAACTGTAAGTTATGACATAAGATTATATTACAAACGTCGTCACAACAGTATATTAATAATCAACTTATTATATATAGGCTAAAGGCTATTTCATGCCTTACTCAACAAGATACAAATACAACCAGTTACTATAAAATTGCTTGTAATCCCATCAAAACTTTACTTAAAGAAATTGAGGGACATCTGCAAACCCTTGTAAAGCTTTCTGGTAATAAAGAAATTTGCGATATGATTGTTAAGGATATTGCTGAAAAATTGACTCCAATTCAATTTGTGGTTAAAATTATTCAACCTGCTATAACTAAAACTTTGCAAGGCAAAAGTTTAGTTCATTCCGAAAAGAGGGAACCATTACAAATTAGTTATTCATAATTTAGTTTTTTATATAATATAAATCTTTTTTTAAATTTCTTATTATAAATAAATAAAATATTGTTATGAATAGTATTTTTTTTTTTTTACTTAAATGTTCAGCTAGAGTTTGCAGTTTGACTATTGTGTAATCAGTTCAATTATACTATAAATTTATTTTGCATTAGCATTAATAAAATTTTTATTTGCAATTCGTTCGAAAGAAATGGCAAGATCTATACTCCCCGGTCAAAAGTATTGGACCAAAAAAAAAGTTATCGCAACTTTTAAATTTATGACTAATTTTAATTTTTTAA